GCCAGGAAGATGCCCGGGGGCCCCCGAGGGCCATGGGGGTGTAGCGGTAATGGGCGTACTCGCGCAAACTAAGGTCGATCCTTGGCCGACCCACTCGGCGCGCAGCAGAGAGAAAGTTGGGTCGGCATCTCGAACGGCCTCAATGAATTGTTGCACCGGTCGGCGAAACGTCGTGGAAAGGGCCGCGACCGTAAGAAGTGCCCCTCATCGCTCCTCCCCAGCGTCTTCGCCGCTAGTTCCCCTTCGTCGCTGGGCAGTGGAACGACTGCGTCGCGACGTCAAATCTTGCAGAGTATCGCGTGTTCAGGCTGGACACAAGTATACATCGTGGAATCCATGGCCTCTCAACTCGTGCTGCTGGAAGCGTTGTTCCTGCCTAGAAGCTCGCCCCAAAACTCAAACCTGCCTTCCGAAGACTCCGCCCCACCACCTGAGAAGCCGCGGTGGCCTCTTTTCCCGACGACGTCGACGTCGGAAACTGCGATCCTCGGGCGACACCTCATGGGGCAAGAGGTCATCGCATAAAGACTTACCCGCGACAGGCAGAATGTGGGCCGCGCGTTTTCCTCCGGGCCCTGGCTGGGCCGATCAGCGAAGGGCTCGCCTGCGACTCGCGCTCCAATGGGGAAGGGCCACATCGGAGATCCGGATCTTCGTCGTCCTGTCTACGACGTCCAAGAACAGCGCGGGCTCCTCGGGGGCTCTGGTTGCGCCGAGGCCTGGGCGCTGTTGCTGCGCACCTTGCGCCGGGTGTGAGAATTGCCGCCGGAGTTCCAGGGGCGCGCTGCCTTCGGGCGCGACTTGGCGTTCAGGGGCTCGACGGGCGCAGCGGCGCGGCCGACCGATGTCGCGATGTCCCGGCTGCTCAAGGCTATCGTCGTAGCGGGCAATATCGTATATCTGTTCCAAATCGAGGTTATCGCGGGTAGCTCGCCGTTCAATAAGATCGATCGGTTGAACTTCCATGCCGCCGTCGTTTCCAAGAAGCGATCGGACATCTAGCCGTGCTCGCTTCGAGCCCCATCGCCTCGCAGAGATTTGGCCGGGCCCGCGCCTCGTAGAAGGCCCGGGCGTGCGAGTCCCGAACAGCGCGCTCGTGTTTCCGTCGGAGGAGGCGAAGATTCTGGGAAAGCTCCCGATGCTCTTTCCCGACGGTCTCGAGGTCCGTGGCATGCTGGCGCGAAGCTCGCAAGCCCATCCTCTCCAAAGGCAAGTCGCGCCGTTGCTTGGCCCAGTGCGCGTGCTCGTCGGGGACGTCCAACGGTTCTGTGAAAAGCTCGGCACCGACATCGACCAGGTTCCGCTCAAGCAGCTCGAAGGTGGCCTTGAGCGTCCTGAGCGGTTCTCCGGCCATCTGGATACTCCGTCAACGAAGTCTATGCGCTGCTCGCCACTCTTGACGGCCGCCGGGAGGGCGGTCATGTTCCATTTGGGTGGCGGCATCGTCTCTGCCCAATCCTGCGGACCCTTCGGGTGCGAGCTCCCGAGGTGCACCATATGATCCCGAGGGGGTCGGACTCGTAGAGCCTGAAGCGCGGCTCCGATGCAGCGCAACGCGTGGCAATGCCTGACTCGCGTCTCCCACCCTTGTGGTCGGAAAGTGAAATCAATGAGGCTGCTCGGACCCGTGGGCCCGCTGCCGTAGAACGTGGCCCCGTACTTGCCGAAGGTGCTTGCCGCCATGAGATGCTGCTGCTCTAAGAGGTGTGCTGTCACCTGGCCAGCTCTTTTGTGTCGTTGTTCTCGTGTGCGCACTGCGCCCGCGGCACCGCTCGTGTGCTCCTGCCAGTTGCCTTCGATATTGCGGCAGCCGATGCCATCATTGAGGTCGGCGTAAAAAAAGGGTAGGCCACGGACAAGAAACTGAGACAAGCAGGTGCGCCACCACTGGAACATCTTGGCAACAGTCTGCGAATATCTCGGGCCTGCCTCGCGGCTCTGAGGCTGAGGCGGGAAGTGAAGCACGACTACGATTACATCCACGACGTCTCGTCGGACACGGGCAACAAAGCACCGGCCTCCCAGATCGGGTGGGCTGGTGGAAAGTCGGCGAACGTGATGATCACGATGACCTCGCTCAAACCGAATCGAATCGCCAGCACTCTGGTTGGTGTAAAGTCCTTGTGAAACTGCTGCTTCTAAGACCAGTCGGCCCTCGATCCGCTGTTGGAGGACATTCTGAACCTCACGACAGACGTTCTGGGTGCCCGCCAAGAGCGTAAAATCCACATTCCGCGTGCATGCGGCGATCTCCGAGAAACGACCGCCCGTCACCCACAGTGGATTCCAGCCCGACGCCCTCAACTTCGACATGGTCTGTGGCCACCCGATCGTGGTGTGGCGGCCGCGCGGCCGAGGGAATGCCTTGGTTCGCATGGTGAATTAACGACTCTGGTCCGTCTGCTCGAATCTCTCGAGCCCACGGGGTGCAGGAGCAGGAGGAGGAGGAGGAGGAGGAGGAGGAGGAGGAGGCGTATTACCACCGGCGCTCTTGTGGGGACACCTTCCGCGCGCAACATGTGTCAAAGGAGCCCACGAGAGCAGCGGCCTCCTCGTCATCGCCCTCGTTGTCGTCGCCGCCGTCCTCGTCCTCTTCGTACCTTTGGCGTCCCGACGCGCTAGCAATTTTGCTGTTGCCCCTCCCAGGGTTTTGGCCCTCTGTGGGCCCGTTCTGGGCCCCAGGACCGCCAGCAAGAGCAGACCACGACGAAACACCGACCCCGGGGATGGGATGGGGCAGGGATGGGGCAGAAACCTAGAAGTCGGATCGAATCGAAATCTTCGGCAGAGCGGGCTGCACCAGCACGGAGTCGGAATCGAGTCGGATCGGACAGCACCACCATGCAAACATCGAGTCGCACCGAATCGTCGGAGTAGCATCGTAATCGAATCGGATCGGGCCGGCCAAAACCGACATCCAATCGGATCGATCGGATCGTTATGGGACCTGCGGGGTCGACTGCGAGCGCACAGGCGGTGGCGTGATCGGGGGATTCTGCTGGGGCGGGCCCGGCCTGGGGTAGTCCCAGCTTTTCGTCAATCGGGGGACTTGAAGGTATGATAGGGGCAAACGTTCGGTTAGAGGGAAATCGCTCTAGACACCCCCTAGGAGAAGGAAGTGTGAGCATCCAGCCAGGCTCGTTCTCCAAACCCACCTCAGGATAAGCCTCTTCTGCGAAACCCCGAGTTGAGGATTGACGACTTCTGCCGTCCCTCGACTCGAGCTGGAACGGCCATGATTTGCTCCAAATTTCACTGGAGATCTCTGAAATTACCCGGATTTCCCTGGGCTTACCAAGATCTACCTCGATGTACCTGCATTTGCCTTGATGCATCCGGCTTGCTCCCCACAAGTCGATTGGCGAAAAGTCGCCGAGCTCTTGGGGAGCTCGCCCTTACCATCGCTCGGTCGTCCATGTGGGCGTTTTTTTTTAATTCGGCGTTTCGACATTGGGCGGAAGGGGGGGTGGGAAGGGGGTGGGGGCCTGGCTCCGGACCTCTGCTGAGTGCGCCTGTTTGCGACCGTGCGGCCTCTGGGGGAGACTCCACCTGCTCGAAGCAGGCGCCAAGAAACAGCCAAGATCTACTCCATGGGGGAGGAGGAGGGGGAGGAGGGGGAGGGGGAGGAGGGGGAGGAGGAGGAGGAGGAGGAGGAGGGAGGAGGAGGAGAGGAGGAGGGAGGAGGAGGAGGAGGAGGAGGAGGAGGGAGGAGGGAGGAAGGAGGAGGGAGGAGGGAGGAGGGAGGAGGAGGAGGAGGGGGAGGAGGAGGAGGAGGAGGGGAGGAGGAGGAGGAGGAGGAGGAGGAGGAAGAGGAGGAGGAGGAGGAGGAGGAGGAGGAGGAGGAGGAGGAGGAGGAGGAGGAGGAGGAGGAGGAGGGAGGAGGAGGAGGAGGAGGAGGAGGAGGAGGAGGAGGAGGAGGAGGAGGAGGAGGAGGAGGAGGGAGGGGGGGTGCGAGGGCCCGCGCCGATCGGCAAGAGAACGAGTACCAAAAACGCCCGCCTTGCCAGCGCTCGGTCGTCCAATCCCCCGCGCGCTGCTCGGCTGCGTACGCTGCTCCTCTCGGGGTGGCCTCCAAGAAGCCTCTGCGGCGATGACCTCGCCGAGGCGAGAACAAAGCGCGCACGCCTCTGAGCACATCTCCTCTCTGGGCGGGGGGCTCAGGGTGCTCGACCATCGATCCTCGAGAATCAGGCCTCGAGAGCAATTCCTCGATCCCACATGGGCTCCTGCGCCTCGAGGATCAGTCCGTCCTGTGACTCACCATTTACGGACTCGAGCCTCGAAGAACAACCGAAACGGCACTTCAGCTTTCACCCTCTGCCCTCCGCCGAAAGAACATGCTCGGCGCCCGAGCGATGCCAAGTTCCGGGGGAAAGACCCCGATCGCCTCTCCACGGCACGCTCACGGGGCGCAGGTGGGGCCCCCCAAGGGGCTCCAGGAGTGGCGCGGCAGGCTGGTGGGCACCTCGGGCCGAGATCGCCGCTGGACATGTTTTGTCTCGTGGGGGCGCAAGCAGCAGACAGTCGTGAAGCCAGAGAGAGGGAGTGGAAGGAGTTCCAGCGAGCCAGGTTGGGCTCAGTGCAGGAACGGCGTCTGTGCGCAGGGTTCACGTCTTCAATTCCCATGCCAGGGAGGCTCTACCTCCAACCCTCCAACGCACTGCGAGGACGCACCACGTGCCATCAGTGCATGGCAAGGTTGCGCCATAAGTAGACAAGCCTGGGCGAGCACTACGAGCGGAGAGCGAGAATAAAAGAGTGCGGTTCAAAAGACAGCGGCTATTGAAGCTGTCGTGGTGGCGGGCTAGGTTCATTGGCAACGAGCGGCTTCCTCCACGATAACGCCGCGGCCACATTGGGCAGGCGGTCTGCGTCTGCCCGATCTAATGCTCAGATCAGCAAGACTCACGCGAAGTTCGCGGGCAAACCACCTACAACGGAAGGCGTCCTCCCTTGCAGCCTTGCCTGCCGCTAGGCGCACCGGGCTGCGAGACGAGGAACTAGTTGGCCAGGATCGACACTTCCAGATAGACCAGCCACAGGAGTACGAAAAGGGCGGATGTGAGGTATTTTAATTTCGCAGGGCCGCCAAGCTCACACCCGAGAAACCACCGCCGCAGGCACAGGACGGCGATGGCAACCGTTGCGCAGACGGTGTAGGTCGCGACGCTCGTGGCCAGGCCTTCGGCGGGGACCACGAAGGTGGCGGGGTAGAAGTTCCGGATGTCCGGGTGGCTGTGGTACCATCCGACCTGTTGCCCACGCCTCACCCACGGGTCCGACGGGTCGTCCACGTCGACCCCCTTGATGGCCCAGTAGACGGACCCCAGCATCCAGGGCAGGCCCAGGCCCAGGAAGACGTTGACGGAGTTGCTCCCCGTGACGTTCACGATGCTGGCGTCGGCCGTCTCGTCCTGTATGGCCGCCGTCCTGGATGCGAACGTGTCGGGCAGTGAAGTGCCGATGGCCACGATGGTGATCGCGGTGACGCTGTCCTCCATCCCGATGGCGCAGCCGAGCATCGAGGCCAGGTCGCCAATGAAGGCAGTCAGTACCCCGATGATTACCAGGGCGATGAAGAATGTTGGGTACCCTCCAAAGTACACTGGCGGCGGCACGCAGGCGCACAAGAGCTTCCAGGGGAATATGAGCACGTGGAAAAACCACGGCGCGAAGCTCTTTGCGGGCTCGCTGTCCAGGCCCCCGCCGACGTAGACGACGTCGACGAACTGTTCCTTCCACTGCTGTTTGCCAATGGACATCTTGTCTTCGTTGAAAGACAATGAGGCCATGATGCTCGCCACCGCGCCGTGGTTCTCGGTGCTGCCTTCTATGGTTACGGTGCAGATGCACTTGTCGGCCCCGCCGTCCGTCATTTCGTCGAAGCATACGCCGCCCTCGGGGCTGTCCAAAACGAGCCGGAACGTCTCGGTCATCTCGTGGCGGCCCATTGGGTTGATGCGGACGCGAAGTTTCACGCTGGCCACCCCGTGCGACAAGGTGAGCTTGGTGTCGACCCTCTCAAAGTCGCGCCCCCCGACGGCGGAGTCGTCCTCGGTGTAGCAGGCGCAGGACACCGTACCCTTGGCCCCTTTGCTGCGCACGACCTCGACGATCAGGTCCGTGTCCTCGGCAGATTCCTGGATGGTCAGCGAGTCCTGTGCAAAGGCGAGGACTCCTGGGTGGTCGTCGTCTATGATGAGAACAGACGCCTTTGCAATAGCCCCCAGCCCGGCTCCGCTCTCGTCGTCGTCGTGTAAGTCAAGGACAACGAAAAACTCCTCCAGGCCCTCTTCTTTATCATCGTCGATGATCTTGACAGGGAGCAACTTCTCTTCCTCGAAGGGCTCGAATGTCAAGGTCTTGTCGAACGCCACGTAGTCTTCGCCGCCAGTGGCCCGGCCGTCGGCCGTGCTGACCCTGACCAGCGTGCGGCGGCTGGTATCCCCGGACCTCTTTACGGCCAGGACGACCTGGGAGTCGGACTCGTAACAGCGGTAGTTCTCGTGCGCGAACTCCACCAGCGTTCCCGCCAGCGCGCGGGGGCTGGCGCGTGGCACCTGGCTGGCCATCTTCTTCAGTGACTCCCGCTCTGACGTGACCGAGGCCTTGCCCTGCGCGAACGAGCTCGAGGCCTGCACCCGCCGCACGGCCCGGCTTGTGGGCGGGCCGAACTCGTACGCCAAGAGGTCTTTCTCGCAGCCTTGACACCCCTCCCCGTACTTCCTGCGCACGACCATCAGCATCTCATGGATTTCCTCGGGCGTGCTCTGTGGAGTGAAGTACAGCCTCCTGCTCTGGCCCTGGCCGGGCAGCTTGAGGAGCTGGTGGAAGTAGCCAATGTCGGCGAGCCAGGCGATCACACAGAGCAAGGGGAAGAAGAGAAAGGTCATCACTCCCTCCCACCACTCCACAACGTTCGGAGAAATCCCGCTTAGGATGATGAGCAACCACACGTACGCCATGATCGAGAAGACAGCAGTAATGTAGAAGACCGGCAGCTCCTTGATCTTCCTCCGCTCCCCGTCAGGGACGCAGGACACCACCACCGCGATGATGACGAGAAGATTGAACGCCGCGCTGCCGACAATAGTAGATGGACCAAGCTCGCCGGCATGCATCGAGTTCTGAAGGAGCTCTATCACACTGAGCAGTATCTCTGGGGCGCTGGAGCCCAGGGCCATGAGCGTGAGGTTCGCCACTGTGGGATTCCACCAGTCCGTGGTTACCCACCTCTGCGTCCTCGGGTTCAGGCGCCGCACTTTCGCGGAGGTGATCTTCTCGATCGCGGCCATGAACACGTCCGCGATGAGCATGACGCCGACGAAGCAGTACATCAGGCCAGAGAAGTACATGAGGCTCTGGATGCCGTCGCCCCACGCGGCCTCGAAGTTCCCGCCGATCGGCAACACCAGCCCCCCGCTCGACCCGTCGCCGCCGCCCAGCACCGAGGTGCCGCCGTTGCAGATCGCGGGCGCCGAGGCCTTCTGTCCCATGGCGCCGCCGTGCACGGAGGAGGAAAACGCCGCACGAGCAGAACTCTTCGAAGGTCCACGCAGATTTCTCGGATCGGCGCTGGGCCCCCTCCCCGCCTGACGTGACGAGCATGGCGGCTCTGCGCGAGAGCAGGGAGCCAACGACGCACTCGGTGTACAGAGGGGACCGCGCGGAGCGCGCCGGTGAGGGACAACGATAGGGCGGGGGACCGGCACCGGGGGGGGGGATGCATCGACCTAGAATCGGCGATGCATCGCCGACAGATTGGCGACAGGCCCCCGATAGTGAGGCCGCACCCTCCTGGGCAGGTCGGGGCGAGCGGGCCTCCAGCGGCGACCACTGGGCGAGCGGGGGTCGGTGCCCATCCCCCCCCCCCTGGTGCCCATCCCCCCCCCTCCAGTCGTTGCTCCTAGAGCCGGGGGGCCCAGGTGCCGACCCGAGGAATATCCGCGCGGACCTCCGGAAGCTTGTGCTTCGGTCGGGCATGTCCCCCTACATTTTGGACGAGAAGTTAGAAATAGCCCAAGCATGCACCAAAATGATCAGAAATAGCCAATCGGCGGTGGACAAACCTCCCTTTAGTAAACCACCCTGCAATGAAAACGGCCTGGGACCGAAACAGACGGACCTGGACCCGCAAAAACGACGATCGCGACGCCCTCTCGCGAACCGAAAACGGCCAATTCGCTAATCGACCTGTCAGGGTAGGTCTGTCCACCCCCGACAAAATGGTCAAAATCAGTCAAAACGACTATTTTTGAGCATTCCTCCTGTAGATCCAGACATGCGACGTCCTGATTTTTTCAGGACGGCGTCCCTGGAAGTCCCGACCCTTTCCCCAGGACCGGTTTTTCGCCACGAGTCGTTCTTGGACGGCCCCGAGGCCAGGCGAGGGCCCCCAAGGGCCGAAAATCGTGAAAAACTCTTGCCGTCCTGATTTTTTCCCTTTTTATATGAATCTATCTAATTATTTATTGATGCTACGGCGCCATCATGTCTGGGGAGGGAACAGGCCCGACTTCAAAGCTCGGGGGCCTCCAAGAGAGGGGGCGTCCAAGAGGGAGGGGGTGCAAATCATGGCCGGCGGCGTGTGCGCGGCCCAGGGGGGGGGGGGGGGGCGGGGACGTAACGAGACAAAGAGGGGCGCCAGGAGACCTGGCGAAACATCATGGCCCACGCCATGATATCCCCCCCCCTGGTCATCACCCCCCCCTCTGCCGCCCCCGAAGAGCTCGTGCTCCTGCCGCTTTTGGTCCCTCGCCGCCCGGTGTGGCGCTGGGCCGCGCGGCAGCCCCCGCCGAGTGAAGGCGCGCGCTGCAGAGGGCAGCGGCACGGGGGCGGCCTCTCCGCCGGCCGCACTCTGCCCCCCGGGGGGGTCCGGCCCTGCTCTTCGGCGGCGAGCGAGGGGGGGGGAGGTGAGAAGGAGAAGGCTCAGGTCGGGCGCGTCCCCCTACTGGGGGGATGGTGGGCGAAAATGGGAAAAATACTGAAAATAAGGTCCCCCCAAAATAAAATCATCCCAGTGCGACCCTACCTAGGAGTTGGAACCCCTAGGAAAGCAGCATTAGTAGTAACAGTAACGCTAAGCTAAAGCTAAGCCACAGCTAAGCTACAGCTAAGCTCAAGCTAAGCTAAAGCTAAGCTAAAGCTAAGCTAAACGCTAAGCGAAAAGCTAAGCGAAACGCTAAGCTAACGCTAAGCTACAGCTAAGCTCAAGCTAAGCTAAAGCTAAAGCTAAAGCTAAAGCTCCCAGGGGACTGGGGGGAATCGCTCCCATGGGACTGGGGGAACCGCCCGGGGCGCTTTGCACTGCCCGGCCCCTTTAAGCTAAGAGAGTAAGAACCCTTCTAGGCAGAGCCTAGGTAGGGAAAGAAAGCTCAAGACATCGTCCCCAGACTATTGTTGGACTACTTCTGAATATCCCCCCGTGGAGGGACAGGCCCGGCTGGGGAACCCAGACCTCCAGCGCATCGACAAAAATCAAGACGGAGGTTTCTCTCGATTTTCGGCCTCTAACAGCCCTCGCCGGGCCTCGGGACCGTGAAGAAACGACTCGGGATGGAAAACCCGTCCTGGGTCAAGACTTCCGGGGACCCTGTATTGAAAAAATCACGGCATCGGATCTCTGGGAAGTGAGAAGGACAAGGCCTTCTCAGAAGGCGGCAGGACTTCTCAGAAGCTCTCGCGCCCACTGAGAAATTGTGTCGTGTTTGCCTTCGGGGAAGGCGCCTCTCAGAAGGCTGGGGAGACTTCCGAGGCTTCTGTCGGCGGTGGACAAACCTCCCTTTAGTAAACCAACCTTTAGTGAAAACGGCCTGGGACCGAAACCGACGGACCTGGACCCACAAAAACGACGGCCGCGACGCCCTCTCGCGAACCGAGAACGGCCAATTCGCTAGTCGACCTGTCAGGGTAGGAGGTCTGTCCACCCCCGATTCTGAGAAGGTCCGCTCCTTCTCCCTTCCCCCCCTGGCTCGCCGCCGAGCTTTGGGGCGAGCGACGCGCCGCCGCCTTTTCTTCGGCGGGCGCCCGAGCCACACGCGGCGGGGGGCGGCGCAGGCAGGGCTGCGCTCGGCTTCTCCGATTTTTTCGGCTCGCTTCGAGGTCGATGGCTTTTCCGATGTTCGATCTTCGGCTCACTCCTCCAATTTTCGGCTCAATTCGAGGTCGATAGCTTTCCGATGTTCGATGTTCGGTTCGGCTTCGGATTCCGTTTTTTGGCTCAGGCTTCTCTCGGGATGGAGGCCTACCAAGCTGCCGATTCCTGCCGATTCGACTTTTCCCGACTCGGTTGCCGATTTTCCCGCCTATCCGATTCCTTTCGATCGCCGATGTGACTTATCGATTCCTTTTTCCTTTTGTTTAGGCGACGCAGCCGACGTGGCGAGGGCCAGTTGGGGCAAGCACGCAGTCGGCGAGCAGCAGGCCTGATGTCGGCGGCGAGCGAGGGGGGGAAGTGAGCAGGAGAATGCCTTCTCAGCAGGTTCGGATGTCGCCCTGCCTTCTGAGCAGTTTCTGAGCCTTCCCCGAAGACAAGCACAACTTCTCAGAAGGCGCGAGGGCTTCTGAGAAGTCCCGCCGCCTTCCGAGAAGGCCTTCTCCTTCTCGGTTCCCCCCCTCGCTGGCCGCCGATGATGATCGTCGATCCCTGCCCCAGCTTCGGGCCCTGGGGCCCTTCGGGATCGGTCCGGTCTCGAGGGGCCCCCCTCAGAGAGGTGGGGCCGAGAGCTCCGGGCGCGGTTCTGTGGCGACGTTTTTGTGGACTTCTCGTGTTGTGCGTCGGGGGGGGGGGGAAAGGGTGCGCCCAAGTTGAGGAAGACTCTGGGACTCCTGGAAGTGATGCTTCCTCCCCCGTCACCTTTGGGCAACGCTCGAGCGACGATCAACAACGGGCCTCACGCGAGATGACGCGGCGAGCTTTCGCCGCGGCTTACGCGGGCCGTCCGCGCGCAGCACGCCGCACTCCGTTTTTTGGCGTCGCTGGCCTGGAGTTGCCGGAGGGAGTCCGGATGGGTCCCCTCCTCCTCCTCCTCCTCCTCCTCCTCCTCCTCCTCCTCCTCCTTCTCATCCCTCCCCTTCTTCCTCCTCCTCCTCCTCCTCCTCAGTGCTGCGAGGGCACTGCGGCACGAACCCCTTCCACAGATTCTGCAAGCGAGAAGTCCAGCAGGCATCGGCAGAAGCGTGCGAAACGCATAGGATCGACGGCACGCTCGCCAAACGGCGGAGGCTGACGGACCCTCCGACGAGAGATCATCGGCCTGGAGGAAGCGCGCCCCCCGAGCATGTGCCTCAGCAGAGCGTCCCAACGCAGCGCTGCGCACCACGTGCTGCCAGCGGCGGGAAGCCCGAACGGGGGTGGACGAAGAAGGTGGTGCTGGCGACGAGTCGAGATCAGCATGCGTGAACGTTCAACGCGGGTGAACTCCACTTCTCAGGGCCGCAGCCGCACCTGTGTCAGCCAACTGCCCATTCGCGCTACGAAGAGCGCAGTGCACGATCACTCTGGCGCCCGTGTGGTGGAGTTCGGAGCCAGGGGAGGGGGCGAAGGGAGGGCGGGGAGGGAGAGTCGCGAAGCGCGTGTGCCTTCTCTCGCCCTCGACGCTGTTCAACAGTCAAGGCGGCGATCAGTACGTCTACCCATCTCGAGCACACGCGTCAACTCTCTGGCAAGAGCATCCAGGCAATACGCCGAGCTGGCCTTGAACTGTGCAGCGCCGTGCAAGGGGCCAGCTTCTCCAAAGGTGCCGGATCCACGCTTGACAACTGAGCGATCCCGCACCTCCGGCGACCAGAACAGACCGCGCTGGGAGCTTCTCCCCATCGTCGGCCTCCAGGCGCTGCCTCTGGGCCCGAGGGCATTGAACACGAGTCGGGGAGAAAAACCAGCCTGAGGTGCTGAGGGGGAGGAGGAGGAGGAGGAGGAGGAGGAGGAGGAGGAGGAGGAGGAGGAGGAGGAGGAGGAGGAGGAGGAGGAGGAGGAGGAGGGAGGAGGAGGAGGAGGAGGAGGAGGAGGAGGAGGAGGAGGAGGAGGAGGAGGAGGGAGGAGGAGGAGGAGGGGAGGAGGAGGAGGAGGAGGAGGAGGAGGAGGAGGAGAGGAGGAGGGAGGAGGAGGAGGAGGAGGAGGAGGAGGAGGAGGAGGAGGAGGAGGAGGAGGAGGAGGAGGAGGAGGAGGAGGAGGAGGAGGAGGAGGAGGAGGAGGAGGAGGAGGAGGAGGAGGAGGAGGAGGAGGAGGAGGAGGAGGAGGAGGAGGAGGAGGAGGAGGAGGAGGAGGAGGAGGAGGAGGAGGGAGGAGGGAGGAGGAGAGAGGAGGAGGAGCAGGAGGAGGAGGAGGAGGAGGAGGAGGAGGAGGAGGAGGAGGAGGAGGAGCAGGAGCAGGAGGAGGAGGAGGAGGATGAGGAGGATGAGGAGGAGGAGGAGGGGGAGGAGGGAGGAGGGAGGAGGAGGAGCTGGGTTGAGATGCCTCAGGGCTGGCGGCTGGCACGTGGCTGCCCCGGAACGCTGGCGCCCCGCAGCAGCCACCGCGCGCCGCCCGGGCAACCGGAAGCCCTGCCATCCGAGGCATCGATGCTTCCCACCCGCGGCCCCGGAGGTCTCGGGCCTCTTCCCCAGGGGCAGCTTCCCGCCTGGGTGGGCCCACCTTTGTGGAGGTGCCCTGGGACACACAAATAAGAGGATCCCCCATCTTTTCCCATATTTTTTCGTCTCCCCCCCCGCTTCCCACATTTTCCCATGTTTCCTGGGGGATCGACGATGAATTGTGTCTGTGTGCTTTTTCCCTTCCTGACTTTGGACGGCCCCCGGGTGCCGAGAGCGGGTCCTGGAGGCCGACGTCGAACGAGCACGCCGCCACTCCGAGAGGTCTGTTGTCGGAGCGCTGGGGACGCCGCCCCCCCACAGGAGGGCGCCGCTGGTCCGTTGGCGGGCGCCGCCGCAGGTGGGCCACCGAGTGCTACGTAGGTCGGGCGCGTCCTCCCACAGGCAGATCCTGGAGGAAGCACCACAGAGTGGCCCAAACGTGCTCGAAGACAGTTGACGGTGGTCGAAACCTCGTCCCGAGACTCCTCTTGGAATGTCTTCGACCACTCCACCTGTAGAGGGGCCTGCCCGACGGAAGGCCACTGCGGCCGAGCAAGTGCCAAGCCCTCCGGCCTCAGTCGAGGCCGCCTGCCGAGACGGCCCGCCCCCCCTGCCTTCCCCCCCCCTTGGGCGCGCGTCCGATGCGGAGGCCCCCGGGAGGACCCCGAGAGGCCGTCGAGGAGGATCCACGCCGGGGCCAGGGACGGGAGGGGGGGGGGCAGGACGCCTGACAACCGGACGCGAGAGCGCGCCTGGCCTCCCTCTGCCCCCCTCCCCCCCCCCCCGCCCCCCCCTGCCCCCCTTGCCTCCCCGGGCCCTCGCAGGCGGGCCAGCGCGCCCGGTGGAGATCCGAGGGGGCCTCGGGCGCCCTGCCCGAGGCGGGCCGCGCGCCGGCGGGGCCCGGAGGGAGAGGGCCCAGCGGAGAGCGGCCCTCTGCGCCGCGGGGGTGTGATGGGGGGGGGGCACGATCCCCCCCCTGCTCCCCTTCTTCTTGAGCGCGAAGCAAATGGTGTGGGGGGGGCGACAGATTGGGGGGGGGGGAGAAATGGAGGGCAGAAAATCTCCCCCCCCCCCCCCCTCCATAAGAGCCACCCCGACACGCGAAGCCTTTGGGTGAGCGCGCCCGCGGGAGGAATCGGAGAGGCCAGGGCTGTGCAGTGGACGCCCAGGGCCGTTCAGCACACGCCACCCATCGGGTCCGCGTGGCTTTTCTCCCCTTGGAGACAAGGTGCTGCTTTCGGGCCTGGGAGGCCCCGCCTGGGGCTCTGGAGGGCCCCCCGCCCCCCCCCCCCCCAAAACGGGCCCTTCGGGC